TACAATATCCCAATTTCCTGCTACAGACGGTAGAAAAGCTCTAATATAAAACATTTTTGTTGTGCTATAGAGTGTATATAAAAGATGAACCAAGCCACAGTGACATGTGACACAAAGGCCCAAACATAAATAGTCCCTCATTAAACCAGAATGTTTTGTTAGAAATCAACTGTGGTTTAGTGTTTATTAATCCTTGTTTTTAAACTAATAGCATTTTGTGTCGTTCCTTTTTTACACAATATTTCATATTCAATTTAAAGTTAAATAGCACAGCTCGTCCAATCGCAATAAGTGGACGGGGGATTTTATTCTGGACATGTTTGTATGTTGTTGCTTTAGACTGCGGGTGTCTAAAGAGAAAAGCGCGAGACCAGGAATATTGTCCACATTTAGCTACCCCTATAACTAGTGATGTGTCGGTCGCGAACGAAACGACTCTTAGAGCCGGATCTTTGAAGTCAACGACGCAAGTCGGCTCCTTATTGGGAGCCGTGTTTTTTTTGTGTTTTTTTTCTCACCCCGTCTCGCACTTTTTTTCCGCTTCACTCCGCATGCGAGCCTTGTGCTTTGCGCTGGGAAGAGGGGGGAGGGGCGGTAGTTACACTCGCAGTAGCACAGGAACAGAGCGGGAGGGGGAGAGAGAGAAAGAGACAACAACGTCACATTAGAAAGGTGTAGTAATCATCCACAACTATTGTTCAGTTGCGGATGATAAAGGATTCAGAAAGTTTATTCATGCAGTGAATCCTGTGTATGGAATTCCAAGCAGGAAAACACTCCCCCAAAAAATCATCCCTGGCCCATATGCCAGAGAATGTGCATCTTTTTTTTGTTTTGCATATTTTAATATATATTTAATTGTGTTGTGGTTTGCAGTGTTTTGTGCTGTTTCACTTTAAATGTGTTTAAAAGGAAAAAGCTGAAAATTTAAATAGTTAAAAGTTGAAATGTAAATAGTTGGTTTTTGTATTTTATAGTTTATTTAGTTTAGTACAAACTTCAAAACAAATGCAAATTCCGAAGCACAGCAGAAGTGCTCCAGGATGCTGAGTGCAGTGTTGAGCTTTTGTTAACTAGTGGCTACACAAGCCAGCAAGTACCATCGACCAGATTTGGTGTGTGGTAACAGGTAAATGAACAGTTTTTAAAAATAATTTCAACATTCTTTTTGTGCATAATTTTATATTGTTGTTAATAATAAATTAATTAAAGCAACAAAACAACCTGAAGAGCCGGTTCGGAGCCGAGAGAGCCGTTTCTCTAAAAAGAGCCGGAAATCCCATCACTAGTTATAACATTCAGGCTTCATTCTAACAGAGTCTCATTAATCACTGCACTTTGATAGTCTAAGGAGCTTGGAAACAAAAGCAGAGAGTCCCTCCACCAGCCCTATAGGGGTTAAATCTGGGCCCATGGGGGATGTTATAGTCTCTGTAGTTTATATTATCATGAGGCAATTATGTGTCGGAAATTCTTTCTTTCTTAAATGCCTCATGCTTCTTAGTTTTCTGCTTTTTCACCCAGTTGATATTTCTTCTCCGCAGGCCCTCTGTTCAGCTTTGATGTCCACGATGATATCCGATTGGTCAATGATGCCACTGTGGAGAAAGATGAGGTGAGGGGGAAAAAACAGTTTATGGGAAATGGTTTCCTTTTTTTAGCTGATTAGAGCTACTCCTAAAGTACTCAAAAAAAAAGAAATGTCATAAGTCTGTTTCTACAGTTGCTTTGATTAGAAATACTCATAAGAAAGATGAAATATTTGTGTATCTGATACAGGAAAGGGAGTTTATAAGATTATAGAGGAATGAACAGAAAGAGTGTGATGTTGAAGTCAGACACAAGCCGAGATCAGAGAGAGAGCAAACAGAAGAAACAAGGCAGCGCGCTACATATAGGTAGACTGAACAAATTAAGCAAGCATCAATTCTGGACCAAAATGGAGATAAAATGTAAAACTGACACAAAAATAGACACAGACACACACTGTTAATTGGACTGATACATCAGTGTCGGAGTCTAAAAGTATCACAAGTCACTGAATTCTGATTGTAAAATGTAAAAACAGCATTAATTTAATAGTTTACTGTTACACTTGACTCATTTCAAGTTACACTTGAAATGAGTCAGTCTCTTCATCATGTATTAGTAGGATTTTTTTTCTCTTCACTGAATTTAGAAGGATAAAAATCCTTTAAAATGTCCTAAATTGTCCTCTTTGACAGGAAGAATGTTGAGTAGTTTGCATTTGTGTTTTCAGAGTTTGAAAACAGATTTTGCTTACCCAGAAATCATCTTTACACTGACACTAATGTAGAAGAAACCAATACCACACCCTAGAGCCACGTTTGGACTTGTTGACTTGCCAAGCATATGGGGCTGAGACACATGGGTCCAATCCACTGTGTACCCACAAACTGAGCAGTGGGGGTCTGATGTCATATGGATTGTGTATCGTTGAAGGCTTTGGAGGTCTGGCTGTCCTGACTGGTTTTAGGGACAGAAATGTCTGAATATCTCTGTAAAATGTATTCTCCACCCATGCTGTATTTGCAAACAAAAATATTAAGTGCGGCTTTGCTCTTTTACCTCAAGTCTCATGCAGGGAAAGTGGTGCTGAGGAGCTGGTATGAGAAGAACAAGCATATCTTCCCTGCTAGTCGCTGGGAGCCATACGATCCTGAGAAGAAATGGGACAAATACACGGTAAGAGTCATTTCTGCCAAGCAAAAATTAATCAGCTGGTTATTTCCCCAGTTTCATTTTAAATTGGAGTCTCGTTGGCTCTGTGTGGCCTCACCACCAACGCTGCAAGCAAAGCTTTGAAGCTGACCCAGCTTTTCTCAGGTTCATCATTAACTGCAGGTGGAGCACCAGAATGCGAGGCAGAGGGGAGATGACTGGACCTCATTACTCTAATATATCTTCCATGTGTGCAGTTCAGTTTCAGTTTAGTTGTATTTATATAGTGCTGTTTCACAGTGACAGTCATCTCAAGGCGCTTCTATATGGGACATAAAAGCCCCACAATATTAGAGAGAAAAACTCCAAATATTGGATTACCTGTGAAAAGCAGGATGGGAAGAACTCCCTTTAAACAGGAAGTGACCCTGAACCAGGGTCAGACAGGGCCAGCCATCTGCTGAATGAGGTGAGGAGAAAGGAAAGACCAAAGTGAAGAGCACAGTGAGACAAGAGTTAATGACATGCAGTGCTGGCAAAAGCACATGAGGAGTGAAAAGAAGAAGGTACATGTATACTGCTCAGTGCATCATGGGAAATCTATGAGTGTACCTGGCAGTCTGATCCTGTGGCATCCTTATAAGAGCATAATAAAGGGGAAAATCCAAGGTCAGAGCAAGCTGCTCTACATGAAAGCTGTGGTACTGTAGCTGTGGCCTGAGCAATGAGCAGGGTTTTAAAGTTGCTCCTGGATTCAATGATGAGTCAGTGAAGAGAAACAGCATGGGAGAAATGTAATGATATTTCTGCTCCCTGCGTCAGGCTCATTGCTGCGTGCTGACAGGATGATTTGTGGCACGAGTTTTCTTTGTAATTGTTCAGAGGGATGCTGGAAGGAAGTCCAGAGCTTTGTACTGTCACATTGTGACTGAGAAGATGCTTTTCACTTTATGGCATGCATTTAATTTTTAAATGCAGAAAATTGCAAGGCTTTTTATTGCTGGAAATTGTTAAGCACATATATTACAAATGTAGTGAAACTTTAATGAGCACCTCTGGGACTCTGCTCTGCAAGCTGCATGGTACAGCTTCTTCCCTCATCAGTGCTTTCTTACACGAGGCGGCTTCAGAGCAGTGAGGTCTAACCGCTGGTTTCAGGCTGACTTTTGATGGTTCTGGAAACTCTAGTAGTCCAAGAAAAAAAGTCTTTGAGGCTGGAAATGAACAGAATCAGAACTGCTTTAACCTCCTAGGACCTGGCATCCACATATGTGGACATCACATTTTGGGTTATTTAGACCAAAATACTAAATTTTGCTCTACAAGGGCCTGATATCCACTTACGAGGACATTATACTGCCACTGTTTTATCTAAATTTTAAACAAATATATGTGGCTCTAATTTTTCTTAGAAACAGAAATCAGGAAATTCTTTGTTTTTACATTCATCAGGTCCCAATCAGCCCAAATATCAAAGAGAAATTAAAAATACTTGCCATGAAAGAGTTTGGGTCTTAGGAGGTTAAAAATGAGCAAACTTCTGTAATACTTCAAATAAGCAGCTGTTTCAGTTTATTTAGATATTACTTTATCATTGATTATTAGTGAGTAAATAGTTTATTGACACTCCAATGACTGGATGACTGTTTGCAGTGGGAATAGGGGAAAAGCTCAAGTGTTTGTTGAGCATCTAGTGGCCTTTTGTGGTATTGCACAAGGCGATTTTTTTATTCTTATTTGTTTTTCATTGTTTTCAGCCTCAGGACCTGGAAAAAAATATGACAGTTTGATGAGGAGCATGCATGATACACTCTATCTAATCAGCGTGTTTGTATTTGATTCTTTTGGCGTTACATAATATTTTTTTGTTTTCCAGATCCGATGAGACGCCGATGCTCCATCGCTATGTCCGGTCCTCGACGCAAATAGTTGCTAATTTCCATCTTTACTTGTTCTATTATTTGTTTTAATGTCAGTATTTCTTTTCAACATTTGATTGGTTTTATTTGAAAACAAAAATTTTTGTGTACATAGTTGATTACTCCTAAACCTTTGTTGGAACATCTGCTGAATAAAATGAACCTGGCTAACACCTCAAAGGTCTTTGGTGAAATTTGTGCAATGACTTGTTTTTCCTCACCTGATACTTAGGTTTAATAGACTTGCCATGAGATGTTTTTTTTTTCTGCACTCTAATAACTTATTGTGGCAGCAGAGCTGTTCCAACATGTACAGGGAGTTTATAGGCCACACCTCCCCCGTGTAGCCTGAAGATACCACTCCCCTCCACGTCTTTCTTCCTTCTCCAAGGTTGCAGTCACTTAATGCTCGAGCACAACTTGGAGGTGCTTCAGCTGCCAGAGTGTCGGTGAGAGTTTGAGATCCAGTGCTCGCCATGACAATGAGGTCCTGGCCCTAGAAGCATGTGGGAGCTTTTGTACCTGTTTTTGACGCTTTGTCAGCTGCTCTGCTGTCAGGCTGAGGCCACAGCTGCTCCTGTCACCCCTCAGAGCTGCAGTCTGGACTGTATCCAGCAGGTAAGCTGGAGGTTGTATCTCCTTCATAGTCAACTGTTAACTCACCTTAATTCAGTAACTTTGTATAATTCGTACAATATGCAGCATCATGTTTTATTTTTTGTTTTGTGACAGATGTTCTCTCAGCCTTTGTTTGAAAAGTAAGAAAAACTCCCGACTAAAAATAATTCACATAACACATTTTTTTAAGAGAATTATTCAGTTTGTCCTGGTTTTAAGAAAAGTTTAGGTCCTCGTTAAGTGGTCGCAAGATAAATCTAAAGAATAGCAAATAAACAACCTGCAGATTGAGTTCCTGCTGCGTAACTGATGAGTTACACAGAAAACGACATCCTCAATTCTTCAAATATAAGATCCAAATTTAGTAGGGAAAAAAATTCATTTTAAACCGTCAAACTGCTGCATGGTTTAAAATCCCAGGTGTCACATTTTATTTCCCGCCCCTTCAGTGGGTATGTTGTTCTCTGTAGTGGAAAGTATGACGTGTACAAGATTTCCTATATTTGTTATCATCTAAAAAACAAATCTTATGTTCCTTTAATGTGTGTGTGTGGGTGTGTGTGTGTAACCCTGTAATCTTGAACATAAATCAAGTTAGAAATTGAGGGGGGCTTGAGTGGATTTTCTCATGCTATCGTCTCACACTACAAGCTCCAACAGTTTCAATCTGTCCACACTCTCAGTGGATGTCGGAATGTTTTCACTGCGTTATTTAGGTTGGCTGGAGTTACACATACTGGCTGTAAACAGATTATACCGTGATGACTGTGTGGTGTGTATTCACATAATGAACCTATGATTGTTATTATCAGAGAAGGAAATCTGCAGCAGTTACCTTTAGTTTTAGGTGTCACAAGAAGAAGAGGGGAGGGGGGAGTTGTAATGATTTCCCGGCACAAAGATAAATTCATGGAGAGATTTTAAATGTGAAAAAGTTTAAAAAGCAAAGGAGGAGAGCATTTGGAGACTTTTCACTGGAGCTTGTGCCACAGAGATTTATGATGCAACTCATTAAAATGGATCCAGTCGTGAGCGATTATCCAAAATGTTGATTTTATTTGAGCCAGATGTCTGATTTGCTGTCAGTAATGCAGTGTTTTTACTTGAAAAGATATTACCCCTGGGTTACCATACCACAGTGAGATGGTTAAACCAAAGGGCCATGCTCACGTATTCCTTTAAATTTAATTTTGATTAATGAAAAGTGGGGCACTCAGTCATCTTGTAGAAATTAGACTTTGATTTTTCTCCAAAACTTAATTTGTGTGGGCTTTTTATATGGATTAAGACTTCCTCCATGTTTGCTCGGCTGGTTTGCTCCAGAAAACGAGGGTTTAGGCTACGCAGACTTTCTACCTAACCTTCCGCACACACGGTTTCTCTTTTATCATCCTATTAGTCATGATCTCAAAAACCTGTAGAGCAAGTCAGCAGTGTAAGAAAGTGATCAAACAATTTTTTAATGACAAACACCAACAGCCAGTGCTATATCTGTCTAGGGGCACACCAGACTTTCATTTTCACAGAAGGTGGAGGTAAACAGCTGTTTTATTACAGAGAAACTATAACAAATTCAGTGACCCAGTCACACTTTCACTGCTCCAACAAGTCAAATATGTCCTTCTATAATTTAGCGTGCTTTGAGTGTGAAGCAGCATTAACTATAATTACACAAACACCCCGTAAAAGCGATGCTTTGGGAAATGCACTGTCCTGCTCTTCATTGATAATGTTCACTCAACAGCAGAGCACAGTGAGTCAACCCTGATCAGTGCCTTCACTACACAGTATGTTGAGAAGCATCCACTGTTTAAACACAAGAACAAGCCGCAGCACATACTGTACAGATGGGAATCAGATTTTACATGGAGAATCTTACAAAAACAAGAACCACATTGTTTGTAATATAGCAACAAGGTTCTCCAAACTTACCATGAAGGGTTGTCAGTGCTGATCCACTGTTTAAGCTGTGATAGGTAAGTATGTGCAGATGTTTGGAAATCAAAGCACCTCTGATGATTGTTACTTGAACTCAACTGAACTGAACTGAAGTGGTGCACTACCTTTTTTTATGGCAGGCAAACTGAACATGCAATACAATTCTTTTCAATTCAATTGTACTTTTACAGCGCCAAGTCACACCACACTTACCTCAAGGTGCTTTATATTGTAAGGTAAAGACCCCAAAATAATAAAGAGAAAACACTGAAAACCCCAACAATCACATGACTCCCTATGAGCAAGCACTTTGGCGACAGTGGGGAGGAAAAACTTCCTTTTAACAGGAAGTGTGGCCATTAGCCACGACCGGTTGGGGGTGAGGGGAGATAGACAGGATAAAGACACACTTTGGAAGAGTGCACAGTTGAACGTTTTCAGACTGTCTCTCATGGAAGGCTTTCATAGTGTTGGACAGATACATTTCAGATACGTAAGTTACTGAAACTTAAGCTCTATGAAGAGTAAAGCAAAACTGCCAAAGGATATCAGTTCATTGTTGGGAAGCAGGAATTGCGACACAGTTCTGTGACATCCATTTTATTGTTGCTGCTATTAAGTCACATTTTTCCCTTCCCTACTCCTCCTCACTTTTGGCAGCTGAACAGGGATTGTACACAGTCCTGCTTTTCATTATAAAGTTAAAGGGAAGGTCAAATTGAACCTTGTGTGCACAAAACTACGAAAGAGATATAGATGAGTGTGTACAGTTTGACTTCTTTATTTTCTCCTATGCAGGGCCGTCCAGCATGTGAATACTGCAGAATAACAAGGAGGGATGTCAGAAAGGCTCTGGGCTTTAAATCCATTGAAAGGTTTGGAAGTAAGTCAGGTTCAAACATCATACTGCAAATATCTGAGCTCTATGTGAGTTTGAGGTTTGAATGAACTTGGTTCACACCTATTTCCACAGTGCTAAGAATGTGGTTCACCTTGTAATTATTATCTCTGCGCAGCATCTGCTTCAACCATCATTTTTTTCTCTCTTTCCTGGTAAACTTCCGACCCTTCCACCTTCCGTGCTCAATCTTTTTCTAATTGTACTGTGATTAATTTCAACATTTAACATGCTAACTTTTGCAGAATTGGCAGAGATGTCCACTCCTTTCAACATTGTCTTCAGTGTTTTCCATTTGTAAATAATATTTCTCTCTGTAGAATGACAGACTAATTACCTCATAACGCTTCTCAGATCAATGGTTGTTTCACTAGGATCATCACAGTTTCAACACCAGTTCCTTCTTGGCACTGCACTAGCACATAGCTGAATGCTTCAGACCAGCAGGTTAGAGGTCAAGCCTTCTGAATGCGATAACTTAAGAATAAGGCAACCCAGTATTTTGACATTCATACCATAGGTGCATCTACTTGGAGGCTGAGGCACTACAGCTGACTGCTGCCAATATGTTTTTTATAACGTAATGACTGGCAGCTGTTGGTCCAACTAGATCCATGTCAACACAAAACTTTGCTTAGCTGTCAGCAAATCTCCATGTAATTTGGTTATTCATGGTCCCCAGAGGATTAATCGGTCTTTTAGCTTTTAAAAGTGCTTTTGAGAAATAGTTTCTTTCTGGAGGTTTTTCAAAGTTTTTCTTTTGGCTGCTTTTACACTCATTTTCACTCAAGTCCCAAGGAATGCTTTTTTGTTTGCTTAGCCACTTCACACTGACCTATGAATCATTCAAGCATAAAAAAGACCCCTAAATCAATGGATGAGTGATTGTTGTGGCTACATGCTACTGAGAATTTTGCAAAGAATCAGTGTTAAAATATATCTTTTTTTCTTTCTTTTTTTCCTTGTTTTTTTTACAACCGGCTTGGCACAAAAACAACAATTTGTTCTCTTTTATTTAGCTGAATCCACCAAAAAAGGTTTAAAAAAATACAAAAATAAAGACAACATAGTTGTATTGCACTCATCCCATAAACAGGCATCGTGTAGAATTTGCACATGTACATGTCAAATAATGTCTAGAAGTATTAAAACTGCAGTACATTTATCAGGATTACTACAGCTAGTGCTTGTCTAATTGATGCTAACACCATGACTAATATTAAATCTGCTTTAGACAGTCATGTTCCCCACTGCCCGGTCGTTCCAAAGATGAAAATTGTCTGGGTTTGGTAATACATTTTTTTCCTTCCATGGATCGAGTAATACCGCTCAATTTTGTTCCAGTAGTTCAAACAAGAATGAATGTATGCTGATCAAGGTACAGACTTTTGAGGATTATCAAATCCGGCTCATCAAATTACTGGGATTAACTGGGATTCAGGGGGGTTCCAAAATTCACATAAAATAAAAGATAACTGATTAATTACACTAGCAAAAACTCACCTTTTAGGCTGTTTTTGTCAGGGATTTTTCAGTTTTCTTCATTCCAAATTTAGCGGCTAGTCGAACGATATTTTGTTGTGGTTCCAAATTTTGGTGACCGTTAAGTTATGTAGGAGTGATGTATGTTGAATGTGACATGTGAAACAAATGCAAATGGTGAACATAACACCATAACACCAAGTCTTGTTCAGATTATCCCCACTGTGATGAAGGAGAAAGGGTTCATGCATGTAGTTGACAAAGCAGGTTTTAAAACATGAACATTGCTCTTTGTACAGCAACAACATGCTGATGGCAGAAATCATTAAGAGCATGTCTACAGATTTAAGTTTGCAATGGTTTAACTGTTATGTACTGCAATCAGCTTTAACATTCATAATTGATTACTTGTATTTCCTCTCTTTACCACTTTAATTAATTAAAAACTGAAGATCGTAATGTTTATATTGTATCTATAAAATACAGTGCATCATAAAATGACTGAAATAAGTGCATAACAATATTTTGTTGCATAAATACCTAACACAGAGTAGGCAATAATCCAGTTTTCCAGCTCTTAACTCTGTTTATCACGTCTAGTTTTCTTGTTCGATTGCTTTTTGAGTTTTGATTTTTCCTTTGTGATCAGACTGAATTCAACCCTCTGCTGGGATCCGGGTAATCCTGATATTCTGGATCAAATAAATTATTTTCCTATTAAAATGTGTTTAATCCAGATTTTAAAAAATAATAATTTTGGATTACCTGATCTTATCTGATCTTGCAATCCTATTTCTCCATTGAACCAGATTTGGATTGGGTCAGTTCAGATAGATTATATTTGAAAAACTGAGGATTGGTCAGAGAATTGTGTTATCTGTCTTTTCCTTTCATTACCGCTGTCAGCATTATGACCATTGTTTACAATAACATTCCCATCAGCCCAAACTGTAACTATTTGTGGTGCAAATATTACCATCTTAGCATTCCAACCATATTAATTTAAATGTGTTAGCATGTTGGGATTAGCAAGTGCAGCCTCTCAGAGCTATTATTGAAGTATTTTCCTCATTATTCCTCTTCAGGTTGTATTCCATGGCCATGTTTTGAGCTGCTGGGAAATGAAGACCCTAAAATCTGTCAACACTACGTCCAAGCACCAAATGATGTGAAGGTTGAGTTTTTAAATGACTCAAACTCCCAATCTGACACAATCATTGTCTCCTGGAAACCCAGTTACTATGGTAAAATTTGTTTGCTTATTGAGAATATATACCTATCATTTATCATGTCGTATCCTAAGTTTCTAAGTGAAAAGAGTAATTTTTCACTTGGTGGTGGGATATCTATGATTTGTTTTTCTTTATTATTATGAGAGGTTAAAAAAGACACCTGACTTCAATTATGAGACATATGCGAGATGTCTCCAAAATTATTTTTCTTATTGTACTGTATGTGACTGAGGCACTGAAGCATGACAACGTAGGAGCCTGATAAAAAACAGAAGAAAGAACAAACTCTCAGACGTAAACACTCGTACACACAGTGTGCAAGTTTGATGAAGGGTTGTTGCTAATTCTTTGTTTCTTTTGTGTTTGCTGCAGGGATCGCCTTCCTTCGTGGCTTTCAGGTGTCCCTCCAGGCTCTGGGAGGGACTAGCGTTGCCTGTCAGCTCTTTCTCTTCCACCGCAACTTATCCCTCCCAACTTCACATGCTCAACGGGTAGGAAGGGCCCCGCTGGCTTTGGCTGTGTTATTTTTCCTTTTATTGTGCTAGACCACACAAAGAAAACGTGAAGCTTTTAAAGTTTTAAGTTACAGCTAGTTATGACAATAACTGGCTTCATGTGGATATATTTCCATTTACAAATGTTTTGAGTTACAAGTGGTTTCTACATTTTTCTCAGTTACATTCCCTTGAACCAGAGCTTAAACAGCATCTTTCAGTTTTGGGGTGAAAACTGCAAAACACTGAATACAGAATAAAACAAAATAATGTTCTGGATGAGATTACGATCAAACATAAAACTGACAACATGTCCTTGGAGGAAACAGTTTAACATTTTATACTAAAGATCATCCAAATGCTGTAAATATGAGGCAGGACATAGAAGACTATTGTTTATAGATGAAGCCTTTTTTTAACAAGCTTGTCCGCAGTGGACTTATTAAATTATTTACATATATTCAAACCACATGGACACAACAATGAATAGCTCCATTCAATTTTTTTAACTGGTAAGTCTCAAAGAATGAAAAAGCAGCAACACTACTGACAGTAACAACAACATGTAACTAGCTTCTTTTTACTTCTTCTTCTTGACGAAGAATCGCTCTTTCACACTAAAGTTCCCCTGTGCGATATTGGCTAAAATTTAAATAAAAACACAATGCAATGATTTGCAAACAAGGAAAAACATAAAAAATCTGAACTGAGTAAACAGCTGGAGGAACATTAGGTTAACTGGCAACAGGTCAGTAATATTATTGGGTATAAAAAGGGGGTCTTAGAGAGGCAAAGTGTCTCAGAAGTAAAGATGAGCAGAAGTTCACTGATCTGGAAAAAGGCAGCATCTACAAAATCCTCTTTCAGAATAGTTTCAGTTTTAAATTGAGAAGATTAAATATCTCATCTACAGTACACAATTTAATCTAAAGATTCTGAGAATCTGAAAAAAATCTCAGTAAGTAGGGGACAAGGCTGAAATTTCCGGACCCTCATGGACCCTCTTGGGTGACGTTGCATTAAAAACAGACACGATTCTGTCATTGAAATCCCTGCATGAGCTCAGGAGCACAGGAACCATCGTCTGTGATCACAGTTCACTGCCCCAAACCATATATGAAGTGTATAATGTGCCCATGCTATTCTGCAGGTGTACAAGTCAGACCCGTTCCCCGGCCTCTCCCTTGGATCCCAGTATGCTGTTACTGTCATGGCTCTGCCAGTGCCTGAGGAGTGGGAGAGCTTCTACCGCAGTGAGATCTTCTCTACACGATGTAAGATGCTGTTTGGTGACCTTTATTATTTAAATCTGCCTTTTTAGTTTTGGTCCAACTTCAGTGAATAGCATTATCATAAATTTACATATTTTGCCACCAATCAGCTCTGCTATTCTGTCAACACTGCATTAAATCAATATTTAGAGTAACATGTGCTTCATGTTCTTGCAGCATGTGCAGAGAAGAATGGCTTTGAGCAGTGTAAAAATGGTGAGAAAACTTATTTTCCTGTGAAGTCCAGTCTGTGACAGTCTTTCTCCAAAGATCTGCTTTATTCATGACATTATGTTATGGTCTGGTTACAGACTGGTACCCTAAACATATTAAGGTTCAGCAGGAAGGCAGTGCCATCACTGTGACCTTTAACTTGGCTCCCCCGAATCTGGGAATAAGAAGCTACTTCTCACTGTGTTACATAAATGGCAGGAAAAAATACACCAACATAATACCGGTAAGTAATTTCCTGTGCTGCACCTTTGTTTCATTCAGTGCCTTTTATTTATTTTTAGATATTTCTGATCATTTAGGTTCTCTTTATAAATGTAACAAGCATTAATTTCATCATCTTAGGATCTGACTACAAATAAAACTCACCATAGCTATCAGCTGAGCGACCTTCAAGAAGGAACCAATTACACCTGTGAGGTAAAAGAATTATGACTAACACTGTTTATAGTATATGTGGACATAAGTATAACTGTTTTCCACCAAAAGACTTGGTTGATGAATAAACTTGAATACTTGAATGGACTTTGTGTTTATTGACTTTTTTCCCAAATCTTTTTACCACATGTGTGGATTTCATCAGAAAATAGTTTGCTCATCAGTCATATTGCGCGAGGTGATGACATTGTAGGTCTTTTCACATTCTTTTACTGTCTTTTAACTAACCGTTCAATTTTTATGGACAGCAGCTTTCCTGTTTTTGTGCACTTTCATTGTTCTCTTTCCCAGAAACAGCTAACTTTGTCTGATACAACAGCTCAACCCCCCCCCCCCCCCCCCCCCCCCACACACACACACACACATAATCAAAGTTAGCAAATAAGTGGTTGTGAAATGCATATACGAAGATCACACATATCATTGTGACCACCTGCCTAATATTGTGTTAATCTCCTTTTGCTGCCAAAACAGCCCTGACCCATCGAAGCATGGACTTTATTACCACTCCTGAATGTGTGCTTTGGTATCTGGCTTGTTTAACCAGCACATGCATGGCTTGATTGGATTAGGGTATTTAGAGGCCAGTTCAACACCTCAAACTTGTTGTTGTGCTCCTTAAACCATTCCTGAAGCATTTTTGCTTTGTGGCAGGGTGCATTATCCTGCTGAAAGAGCCCCACAGCTATTAGGGAACACCGTTTCTATGAAAGCATATACATGTTCTGCAATAATTCTTAGGTACACTACCAGTCAAAAGTTTGGACACACCTTCTGATTTAATGGTTTTTATTTATTTTAATGACTATTTACATTGTAGATTCTCACTGAAGACATCAAAACTATCAATGAACACATATGGAATCATTTAGTAAACAAAAAAGTGTGAAGTAACTCAAAACACGTTTTAGATTTTAGTTGTTTTGTTTTTTTAAATAGGCTCCCTTTATTACTTTGCACACTCTTGGCATTCCCCTCGATTAGCTTCATGAGGTAGTCACCTGAAATGATTTTCCAAGAGTCTTGAAGGAGTTCCCGGAGATGCACTCGTTGGCCCTTTTGCCTTCACTCTGCAGTCTATCTCACCCCAAGGTGCGGTAAGCTGAACACAGCTTCAACCGTCTGTTTGTTGGAAAATAGTAAGGCGACCGCACCGCATTTTCTTGTTAGTAACAGTAACGCCGTTGTAACGATAGAAATACTAATTAGTTAGATTACTCGTTACTGAAAAAAGTAACGCCGTCATTCCCATCACTGATTGTAACGCTTGATGGGTTTTGCGACTGCACTCGGGGACACATTCAAAGTTTTTGCAATTTTCTGGACTGACTGACCTTCATTTCTTAAAGTAATGACGGCCTGTTCTTTCTCTTTACTTAGCCGATTAGTTCTTGCCATAACACAAATTCTAACAGTTGTCAGATAGGGCTGCCAGCAGGCAAGAAATTCCACAAATGAACCCTGATGAGGCACAGCTGTGAGGTGAAAACCATTTCAGGAGACTACATCATGAAGCTTGAGAGAAGGGTAGAGAGCCCTGTCAACGCAGCACAGAGTAGCTACTCTTGAATCAGAAGTATAAGACATATTTAGAGTTATTTATCAATTTTTTTCTTTGCTACATAATTCCATATATCTTTCTTCATATATTTGATGTCTTCAGTATGTATCTACAGTAGAGAAAGTAGTAAAAAATAAAGAAAAACCATTAAATGAGAAGGTGTGTCCAAACATTTGACTGCTAGTGTAGGTGCTACATGTCAAAGTAACATTGACATGGATAGCTTCCAATAGTGCATCCCAGTGGAGGTGTTCCCCTAGGTAAGCCATCACACACCCGACCATCCACGTGATGGTCAGGTGGTCCAGTTCGGATGCTCACTTGCCCATTGTTGGCACGTTCCATGGTGGATGTGGTTGGCATTGTAACCCTCACTTGTTTTTGGCGATGCATCCCCATACACAAGAAACTGTGATGCACTGTGTATTCTGACACCTTTCTATCAGAATCAGAGGTAACTTTTTTGGCAATTTTAGCTACAGTAGCTCATGTTGGATCAGACTACACTGCCCAGCCTTCAGTCCCCACAGACCCAGTCTCTGGTTCCCCACTGTTCCTTTTTTGGAACACTTTTGATTGATTTGACTGACCATAGCAGGCCCAGAAGAGCCCACAAGAGCTACAGGTTTGGAGATGCTCTGACCCAGTCATCTAGCCATCACAATTTAGTCCTTGTCAAACTTGCTCAAATCCTTGGGCTTGCGTAATCTTCCTGCTCCTAACACATTAACTTAGAGGACAAAATGTTCACTTGCTCTTCACTTGCTCAGTCAGATATGTACTTTCATGCTTCACCTTTTTGACTTTTTTCCACAGATTGCAGCTAATGAAGTGGATGCAGTTAGGAAAATGTTCAATGTTCATGTTGAGCACTCTCAGAAAGGTAAGGAAAGCTGTTTTGTTGCTGCATATTCACACAATTACTATGTCACAGTGTGTACAAAGCTTTCTGTACTTTTAGTTGTAAAGTTATATCTCCTGAACCATATTCAGGTTTCTTGCATGCATGCACAAATTTCTCAAGAACTATCACTGGACATGAAAAATGTGTATTCCCCAATGGCAAGCAGTTACTGGCTTTCACTAGGTGAAGGTGCGGCAGCAAGCAACCCTCCTAATTGTTTTGGTCGCAAGATTTCCACCCTTGTGTAGATGACGCCGACTTCTGTGCAAAATAGGAAACACATTAATGCTACTTTGTTAGTTATACTTGTTATACGTATTTCGCTGTCTGTTTGTTACTGATACACACTTGTGGCCAATGCGATCAGTCTTTTTATTTTAACTATTCTAATACTTTGAAAAGCAGTGAGATAATCCACTAAACTGTCTCAAGAAATAATTCAAACTTTGCTGTTATCAGAAGATGCCTCTCCACGCTCTGTCACTCCCTCCTTGGCTTTTGTCCTTCCTCTGAGTCTGGTCGCGGTAGCCGTACTTGGAGGCTGTCTGGCTATTGTCATTAGGAGGAGGACCAAGCTGCAGATGAAGAAATTTGACATACAACTAGGTGCAAAAACAACCCAGACATGTCATGTAAAATCAGTATTTGAACCACTGCCAGTTATTACGTTTATACATTTTCATTTAGTATCTCTAATCCATCTGCTCCTTTCCCCAGCAGCACATGAAAATGTTTTGTTTTTTTAATCATCAGATATCATCAACAAACACGAGGAAGTTGGGAATCAGGAAGAATTGTTATCACTGCGCAAAAACAGGCTGACCCCTCCTCGTCTTCTGATTTGCTACAGCAGCCATGAGGGCCCCGCTCATGTCAAAGCTGTCATGCAGTTAGGTGTCTTCATACAGCAGCACATGGCCACTCAGGTACAGTTTTACATTTTATCTCTTAACTTGCAGCACATTTTGTAAGGGCAGTTTTGGCAAGATTTTGCCAAAGTGTTCGTTAGTATGAGATGCATTTAATAAGAGAAAGAGATGGGATTCGGTTTATATTAACAAAGTCTTCCCACTTATTTTTCTTCAAAGGTGTGTCTGGATCTTTGGGACTCTCTGAGCGTGGCTGAGGAAGGCAGCATGGCCTGGCACTGCCGGCAGATCCGGGAAAGTGACTTTGTCTTGGTGATGTGCTCTAGGGGCTTTAACCAAAGACCCAAGCCAGAGGATGATGATGGTGATGAAGATCAGGCCTACAGCTCTGATGCAATCATCCAGCTTATTGGTGCAGAGGTGGGCCGAGCCAAAGCCTGGGGCCAGGACCTGTCCAAATACATGGCAGCCATTTTCGAGTACTCAGAGGAGACAGACATTCCCACTGAACTGAGGCTCATTTCTCACTATGTACTGACAAGTGACTTACCACTGCTCTTCTCCCACCTCCATGGAGTGGCCCTGCACAGGCCTGGGGCTTACCTTAAGATAGACCACATCTCAGAGAAAGGCTTTGCCAAGGTGCCAGCTGGAGCTGCTCTGCAGTGGGCTATCTATGAGGCTGGAATGGCATTGGAGGGAAAAGGACAGCACTCTCTGGAAGAAGGGGACTAGATAGTGAAGAAGGGACTTACACACCCTCAGTTAATGATAGTTCTCAGCTCGATATGTGATAGTTGAATGAAACTGTGAGTTTACACCTCAAACGTGAGGAGTGGATCTACACCTGTGCCTCAGCACACACTATGACCTCTGCAATGCCTTAATATGCAACTTAATATGCACCCAGTATTATGTGTCCTGGCCAAAAAGATATTTTCTCAAATAAATATTTTCAGTCAATTTTCTTGCAGTATTGTGTAATAGGTTCCATGAGTACATCAGCTATTAATCTTATTATCAAGCTTACTCTGTAAGACTGTTTATTTTGAAGTTGCATTTTAAATATTGTAAACAAGCAACTTTACAGCCATGCTTCACGTGTCTGTGTACATCTCTGCGTACAAATGGAAATCAAAGCTTCATGTCATTTAAACATATGAATAAATGTCTTGTCTTGTATATTACATTATATTTGTGTAAAATAATAAAATCTATTTACATCGAAAATTTTAATAAAATAAAAAAGTTTCAAATAATGCCATTTTATTGAGACTTGTTTTTTGTTTGTTTTTTAACATTTTGCTGGTGCTGTAAGTCCTCAGCTTGTCTTTGATCAGAAACAGTCTTGGTTAAATATTGGCTCATACACACACTGTATTAAAAACAGGGGGAAATTTTATATCGTCGATCACTGTTCCATTTTTCTGAATATAACAATTACAAGACAGACCATAATTGAAGATTATCTGTTTATTACCAAATGTCAGCAGCGTAACTAACAGCTCACTTGTTGGAATAGGTCAACAAAAGGCTGGAAAAGTCAGTGACACTAAAATGAAACAGCTGGAGGAACAATTTGCAACTAATATGGTTAAATGGCAACAGTTTACGATATGAGTTTACAAAAGAAGCCAGATGTGAACATAATCCAGATCACTGTTGTCTAATTTTGGCCAGAGTTCATTTGAAATAGACTGAGATGAGGTGGAAAACTGTTCTGTGGTCAGACGAATTTAAATTTGAAATTCTTTTTGAAAACATGGACGCTGCTTTGTCTGGATTAAAGAGGAGACTGAACATCCAGCTTGTTCAAAAGTTTGCATCTCTGATGGTATGGAGGTGCATTGGTGAAGATGGAATTGGCACCTTACACATCTGGATAGGCACCATTCGCCTCCGTCAGTGCGCCCCAGGGCGGCTGTGGCTACACTGTAGCTTGCCATCACCAGTGTGTGAATGTGTGTTCAAGTTCAAGTTCAAATTTTTTTGCCACAAGCAGTGGCAGGTTGCCCGGCAGTGGAATGAACCCGCCCCCGACCTTACACACAGTACACAGACATCACATGGGGATACAAGTTAGAGAACGGTTGCATTACAGAAAAAAACACTGCAATATACACTACAATGGGAAAGTACAAGAGGAAAAAAGAGACCTCTTTTCATGCTGGGCTATAGAGGACAGCATGAGAACAGGAAACAAAAACACTCCTCTGCACAGAAAGCACATAAATGTCCACAGTACAACATTATGGAGCATGTGACCAGCAACAGGGTTGGGTAAGGGATGAGGAGTAATCCCAGGCAACACAGCAGCCATCCTGCCACTGTACCGACTCTCCAGCGCGGGCCCAGACCCGCCTCGTGTTCCCAGGAGGCAACAAGCATCAAAGGCATTGGAAGGGGAGGGGGGATGTATGAGTGCTTATCAGTGTAAGTGTGTGTGTGTGCGTGTCCATAGTTCAGCTGAGACAGATGATTTTATTGTGATATTTATATTGCATAGTTTTATCCTCATATTTATAGTATGTGTGTTAGTGTTGTTGTACCATATTCCTTTAATCCACTGTGGACTAAGCAGACAATTGTAGGCACCTGTGAGGTGGGGGCGTTCACTAAGATGCCCTATCAGCCGCCGGGCTGACCTGTTAAAGGGGATAGTGAGCGCAGAGACAAGAGAAGGTTGTTTGCCAACCACCATTAAAATGGAGGAGGAGGAGGAGGAGAAGGAGAAGGAGAAGAAGAAGAAGAAGAAGAAGAAGAAGGAGAAGGAGAAGGAGAAGGAGAAGGAGAAGGAGAAGGAGAAGAAGAAGAAGAAGAAACAAGAGAAGCGATGCATGAAAGGTGAGCAGGAGAAAAAGGAACGCGTGTAAGCCCGCATGTGTGTTGAAGGAACTGCTGCCTGACTGTGGAGTGCCACGAGTCGTTCGGCGATCCAGTCCCAACGGCAGGAACAACAACAGTGGGTGGCGATGGCCGCAATTCACAACAGGGCAGGGGTGCCCCTCTGCCTGCATCTGACAGTGCTACGAGGGAGGTAGGTGCAGGTGTGGAGTGGGGCGAGACTGTGCGGCGACGTGCTGTCAGGAGGAGACAGGTCTGCGACAGGAGCCCCCTCCTTGTTCTTCTGCCCGGCGTGGTTTCCATCCCGGAAGAGAAATTCCTCTCCTGTGTCAGATAAGGAACATTCGCCCGCGTGTGTCTGTACTGTGGGATTATGGGACTGTGGGAGGGGAATTTTAGCATATGGGAGACATTCGTTTAGCTTTGTTTTAATAGTGTATAGTTATTTCTGCCGGCAGGGTTTTTAGCGCATTGAGAACTCTTTTTTTATTGTATACGGGGGATTTTAACTTGTATTTGTGATTCTGGCTGTTTTTTATGGAAATAAATGGTGTGTGTTCCAAGCCAGCGTAGTTTCTGTGCCCTGAGCGCTGACCCGCTCACTCCCCTTCCTCTTGTATGTGAATGGACTTGGAGGTGAAGATTTAGGTCCACCAGTCTTTGTGTGTGTGTGTGTGTGTGTGTGTGTGTGTGTGCATGTGTGTGTACAGAAGGAAGGTCATGGCAGGAGCCTTTTTTTTTAATGTATTTCCAATCAGCTTTTTTACAAGAAGTGTATTTCATACATTGGAATAAATGTATTCTTTTCGATCAAGGGCGTAGATTAGGTTTTGGCATTGGTGGGGACGGATGATTCAACCACCGAACCCTGCCCTGTTTCTTTTTTTCCCCTTTTTGTCTTTGCTTCTTGATAAAAAAGGAGAAATATACTTGCTTACATATGCTATTCTACATGCTTTTAAACCATTTAAAATTACAATTCATAGTTTTACATTTGAATTATATAATGTTAAATTACTATTAAACAAATGACTGACTAAGTATTTTAGGCTTTAGTTCACTTCAGCCATATTCCATATAAATCAGGTTTCATACAAACATAAAAATAGCTTCAAATACAGTCATGACAATAAAAGAATATGACTTTAAGGACTTAACAACATTACTTCAGTTACACCAACATCTGTTATACATTAGCACTAAGTGAACACTGAATGACCTGGTGGGTTTTGTCCATAAAACTACTCATCTAAGATTACCACAAAGTAAAAGATCTCTCAGCAAGATTATGCAACATTTTAGGCACTATTGGCCCGATCAAATCAGTGAGCTGGGATTTTTTTTATTCTAAACATGAACTACTGTTACAGCAACAGAGACGGACTACTGGTGTCCCACACAACAACTCAATGTCCTCTATGTGAAGCAGCCAAACACATGCCTGCTCCTCTCGTTAACTGAGATAAACTGCTGGCATATTGGTTTTACATCTATACTGTCCAGTCTCTCCTGGTGGACATACAGCAGCATTGTTTAATTTCATTCGAGTCACTGTTAACCTTACCCATCTTTTTAGTCTTCTTAGGGGTGGCTGTATCTCAGGTGGCAGAGCAGGTCAGCCACTAACCAGAAGGTCGGTGGTTTGATCCTAGGCTGCCTCCTAGCTACATGCCAAATATCCTTGGGCAAGATACTAACCCCGTGTTTGCCTACTGGTGGTGGTCAGAGGGCCCGGTGGCGCCAGTGTCCGGCAGCCTCGCCTCTGTCAGTGCGCCCCAGGGCAGCTGTGGCTAAAATGTAGCTTGCCGTCACCAGTGTGTGAATGGGTGAATGTAGTGAAGCTTCTTTCAGCCTCAGTACATGCGTTTTATCCTCAGATTACAATTATTATTCTGTGCTTGATGTGCCTCAGCTTTGGTCCTGGCTCTTCCCCTCTGACTGCACTAGGACATATTGCTACCTGATAAAATAACACATGGATTCGTACCATATAAAAAGTGAGACATGTCAATTCAGATTCTTTGTCAAATATACACTAATGAAACAATTTACATCAGCAGCCTGACAATTGTCATGATAATAAATACTAGTTAATCTATAGCACCAAAACATCAGTCAGTCACCTGTGACCTCGCCTCTCCACCTCTGTCTGAGCTACAACATGGCAGAGCTGCCTCTGTCACCTGATGAATAACAGTGAGACATTCCACATACATGCAGTCACACATGTGCTTCAAATACAGTCATGAACCATCAAGTCATCATCCAATTTCACCTGTGATCTTGTGTCACCATTACTCTCTGAGCTTTGTGTTGGTTGGAATATTTGCAAAATCATGACGACCTCATGATATTTTGTCTCAAAAATTAACCTATGAATATGTCAGTGTCATTAGGATGAAATTATTGTGTCACCAACATTTTAACGTTAGACATATAATTTTAACAGCCTCTGTAAACTAATATCCTGGCTTGCTCGAGGCTGCTGTTTTCTCTGACAGTTTCAATCAAAATTAGAAATGCTGCTCTGAGACTGAGCTAACTAATAGTGCTGCCTGTTGTGCAGTTAGTTTCCAAAACACGTTATTCATGGTTACATACAGTTTTAGACTGATGTGGGCCAAAGCCTAGCATAGCCTGTAACGTTATTATGACGGACATATTTTATGAGTGAACTTGGCTTTAAGTGACTGACAGGTTTCTTTGAAAAATGCTTTCATATATCCAGGTTCTTCCTTTTTGCTGCCATCCTCCTCTCCTGGCAGCGCAGGCTTGCCGCTGCTAAAACTAAACAGAGCTCCCTGAAAGGCACAGCCAATCACATTGGCCATATTTGTCACATGACGTAGGACTCCAGTCTTTCTGCACCGCTGGGTGAATGAGACGTTGACAGATGTTTTTTCTTTCTATCGGGTTAGTTTTTCTTTACTCGAAGAGATCAAATTATTGGTGGGGACAATTCAATAATCTCTGGATATTGGTGGGGACATGTCCCTTCCTTCCATGCCAAATCTACGCCCTTGTTTTCGATACTTTATAAATATGAAACTAAAGATTTTGAGTTCATGCACATTGTGAAATAAGAATCTAAATATTTGTGTCACAATGATTTCTATAAAAACATGTTTATGGGGACAATGTGACAAATCTTTGGTCCCTATTAATGGTTACTGAAGAGGAAGCTTGAACCATGGGGCTCTCCACCATCTGACCCTAGAACTGAAGAAGCTTCTCGGATGAGAGGCGCCACGTCTTCTAGCAAAGAAGTCCAGACGCTTTTCTTTCCAAGCTCCTTAGACTACGATGAACTGGATGACTGAGAACCTTCACAGACATTTAAATCAAGTGAGCAAACTCATCAAACAAATG